TTCTCAGTGGTTTCAAACCATTGCTGGATGATTGACAAAGTCTAAAGCAAGTCTACACAACATACTGGAAATAAATACAATAGCTCAAGTTCAACACAAACTCCAGCATATGTGAATCCATGGAAGGTTTCAAATGAAGACACTTGTGTTTTTTCCTCTCTTCTGTGCAGCTGGTGTTGGATAAAAGTGTTGTGAGGATCTATCGCACATGTTGAGCCGCAAAAGCCCCCAGTGACTCATTATAGACCGCAAAAGCCAGCCGTCCCTAAAGAGAGTCTGAGATATTATCACACCCGCACTGAGAGACAGTGAGACTGAGACCTCACAACCAATGAAGAAAACAGAGAGAGGATGCTGGTTAATCACAGTGAATTTTAAATGTAGACACATCACAGCTGTTACTCTTTTTCAGTAGTGATAAAATGTTGAGGGCTTAGGAATTGCAAATATATATATATATATATTTATTTTTTGCTTTTAGTCATATATTCTTGTCCATTAAGAGCAACTGACCCTCAGCTAACAAACATTGCTTCTTTCCATAAACATAATGAGATGACTGTACCCGTCTGCTGCAGAGACTGAAATTTTGATTCGTGTTTTAGCTAAAGCTCTGGGCCATAACACAAAGTTCCAGTTCCTGAGGGATGTAAATAACAATGATGATAACAGACGCTTCCATAAATGAACATAAACATGAGCCACCAAATTACCAGCCTGTGGAGAACTTTAATTTTCTTTTGCTATCTTCTCTTGTTCAATCCCACTGATGAACAGAGTTTCATGTAAATGTATCAGTGTGTGGTTTCATCTGAACACACACAGATGCTTCTATTATCACTGGAATTCATAAGTATTGTTATCAGCGCTCGTCTAGCACAGAATCTCTCTCTATAGTGCCTTACAAACATACGCATTTAAATACTGTTTCCCAGCAGGATCATATTGCTTCATCTTACGCATAATATCTTCCTGACTGTGCTATAGTTTCCTCTGTGATATACTGTAAACTTTCAGTCTGCTGTTTACAGCTGTTTCTGCTGAAATTAAAAGTTGCTATCATTGTTTTATTATCTAGTTTCAGTCACTTTACACAGAATCCTCATTTCGGCTTATTCAGGCATAATTAAGACACATTAAATAATGCAAATCATCTTATGAATGATTTGAGGTGAGTCACCAGCAGCCTGAAAGGATTTCGTCCATTGCTGTCAGTTTTCCAACTGACACAAATCCCTAATGATCCAATCCATTCCCCACAGCCGAGACTGATGTCACCAACTAATCCAGGCTGCTCTTCTCATATTAGATTACTAAAGTTTGACATTTTATGAAGAAAATGTGGTGCGTGCCTGTGTAAAGTTCACTGCTACGATGCTAGTCTGCTGTGACGGTTGACAGGGTGCTGTTATGTGTTCAAAAGGACCAGCATAAACCAGCAAAGGAACAGCTTAAACCAGCATCCCAGCGTCAAAACATACCTAACCAGCATATGCTGGATTTTTCAACAGGGATGAACTTTAACGAGATGCCAGTGGACATGAAACACACTGAATGGGTTTGAAATACAATAAACTGACCTTCTGTTTTCCTTTTGTTGCTGCCAATGTTTCTGTCAGCACATTTTACTAGGCTGGCTTAAAGCCTCAAGTGAGGTGTTACACTGCATTTACAAAGGTGCCAAATCCCCTGCATTCTGGCAGGTTGTCTGGTACTCAGCTGAAAACCCGCCTGATGGGCAAAGCAGGAAAGAGACGCCCCCTACTCGCAACACGGCTTTGCTATTGATTCCTGGAGCAGTTCTGCTTCTGAACGCCTTTGCAGAAGACTGTCGCACTCAGAAAACACATTCATGTAGGAGGAGACGTTCAAAGGAAGGCGGATTTGTCTGCTCTGAACAAATTAACTCCGGAAAGAAGTGAACATACAGATTTCTACCTGTATGTTTCATATTTATGACACCAGACGGCTTGATGTGGAGAGTTAGCCTAGCCGCGTAAAAGCAAGGAGCCATTGATTATTTGCAGATGATAAATCAGATGATGACAGAAATGCTGCTATAGCCTCACTAGTTTTATTATTTTCTCCTATTTCTAAGTAATACATTGCATTTTAACCACCTTTAGTCAAAAAATATTGCAAACAGATTACATGCTCAGGAGCTCGTGTTCTCAAATTGCAGGTGTTTAGCACTGATATTGTTCTCAACTTAAGAAACTTTGTCACTATCTAAATGGCAATACTGCCTAACAACACACTCCACACACTCAAACTGACAGTACAGCATTAAGATTCAATTCTTGACTCAATTCTTGTGCTGCTAACAGTGTCTGATCCAAAACAAAAGGAGGATTTCTAAAACGGATCAGAGGCAGTATTGAATTATTCATCTCACTCTAACAAAGAATTAAACTAATCTATCTGCCAGTGACACATGCAGTTTTCCGTGACGACGCAGGCGAGTGCCAAACAGCATGTGGCAGTGACGGGTTAGCATGGGTCGCTAATAATAAATTAAATGCTCAGTTAATAGCAGCTTGATAGCTTGTGTGTGTGAACATGTTGTGAAATATGATTCATAGAAAGAGAATTGTGTTATTCCTTACTGTCCTGCTGAAAACATCTTGAACCAGCCTAAGAAAACCATTTTAGGCTGGTTAAAGCTGTTTTTCTTAGCAGGATCAATAAAGGCAGACATCTAAAGGTATGCTAAGCAGTAAACTGTTCACATCCCGAGGAAATCCTTTGGGTCTTCATGCTGTTGTGGGGCGCTAGGCTAGTCTTTAGCTGTCTAGCTGTGCTTATAATCTCCAGATGGTCTATTCTTCTGTATTTTTTTTTAAATAACTTAATATTTAATCTAATTTTTAATCAAAATAGTTTCTTCTTCTCGTCAGCTGCAGAACTACTAGGATCTTTATTTCAGTCTGAGCTTGATCTGATCACAGGAAACTATCAGTGACTTCTGGGAGGAGATTCACTGACTGTGGGCTTTTTGCATTATTCAGCATTGCAGTGTTTGGCAAACGTACAGGCCTCTGCTCCATATATTATTGTGGATTTTCTGCAACGATGTATGAGCTCATGGAGAATCAATGTCATTCAAAGTGGTCAGTTGACTGATGGTGTTTCATTTTCATGTAACAACCTGTCACGATTGACATATGACAGACTACCTTTTGTTGAACAGCTCAGGATTCTGGATCTTGGCGTCGGTGTCATAGACGAAGTGCTCTTGTGAGATGGTGACACTGTTGTCAAGACTGTCATTCTTGCTGATGGTGATGACAGGGTAACCCATCTGCAGTGTCCAGCGGTCCATGACCTGCGTGATGTTGATGTCCTTTCCCTCCCGCTGCATGGCCTTTGACACAAAATATATACATCAAAATACATCATACATATACAGATTGCCAGAGTAAAAGGTGCCGAGCAAATAGATAGTGTCTGAAAGTGTAAGTGGATTGAGTTTTGTTGGTTTATATTAGTTATGTTGGTTATGGTGGGTGGTGTAAAAGCTTGAAAATAATGTACTACTTAAACTAAACCTGATGCTAAACCTAAGTGATAGTGTTGGCAAAAGCAAACGTTAAAAACAGATTTGTTGAAGCAGCCATGCGATTTTAGCTTGCTTCTACAAGTCTTTAATTAGAGTATTTGTATTTGTGTTTCACAAGACACATCACAACTGCAGCGCTGTACCAGGTGAGCTATCGAGCAAGTTTACTATGAAAGAAAAGTGGCACATATGGAGCTGGTTATGTGATACAAATGTGAAAGTGTATTAGCTTACAGATCATGCACTATGGTAAAAGTGTTTTAAGGTCATAACATAGTATTGTGTAAGACTTTGTTATTTGATAAACCGCCCCTAATCATAATTTTGTGTGAAAAGGAATAAAAACCACTAGTGTTCATTTCAGTTGGAAACTGCAGTGAATTGTATGTATGAAGTTTTACAAAAATGTAGGTAGAGGTACGATTTTCCAATGAGCATAGGGTGAAATAAGAACCCATTCAGGACTTTTAATTAAAAACTCTTAGTGAATAGAAAGGTGATTAAACTTCACCGTTCTCTTAAACCGCATACGCAGAAACATCACAAGGCAATTTCCAGTTATCTAATCTCTCTATACAAGAGCAATGCTTGTAAAAGAGCAGAATTAGATTTATAAGTCTGATTTCTTCAGAGGAAGCTGCTCCTCCTATTTTAAAGAAGTAAAACATAAAATTGGATCTCACGGCTCATTAATGTGGAAAGCTCGTAATGTGACTGAGTTTTGTCCCTGAAGGAAATATACTGCCTACATGGTTCCTCCTTATTCTCTGAAAATGCTACTATAAATGGTTCAGCACGGTGGACAACTGGCAGTTTTCTGTATGAATTGTTTTCAAAAGCTATCTGTATGTTTGAGGAACATTTTAATGTTTTATGGAGTTTCATCTACTTTTCAATGCAGTATCCATTTTAAAAAGAATGGTAGAGTATGTGACTGAAAAAAACACTGGAAACACATTTAGAAAGTATTCAAAATATAATTAAATAATCTTTAGCATCTTTGTTAGCATGCATGTAAAGTCAGTATTTTGAGATTTCATTTCGGTCTTAACGTAGCTGTCTGTAGACAGTGAGTCATTGGCTTCACAGATATTTTCCATCATTTCATTTCACCGCATTTTAAAGAGGTGCAGCATTTCATGTTTACTGGGGTCAATCGGTAGTTTCTTTAAAAATTGGTTGTAAACCGGTGGAGATTTACAATGTTTCTGCAGCAGCACACAGTCAGTGTGTTGTGGAGACCCGTGGGATTGGAAGGGGAATGTGGTGGCAGAAACAAAAGTGCTCTGTCAAGCTCTCTTGCATTTTGCAAACATCAACTTGACTAGATCATTCGAGCATGTGCAACTCCCCTTCTCCAGTGTAATTGGGAAACTCTTGCTTATAACAGATGATTCTGACCATATGAGTATTAAAATCTGAGACTAACCAAGCTTGCATGAGATGACTCGGCTATTATGGAAAACGCCGAATGAGACCAGACGACTTCTCACAGCTGTCAATGACTCATGGTTTGTTTACCGTGTGAATACAGAAGAGGCTCTGCAGAGGCTGATGACGGCAGCTGATGTTCCTACATTATGAATCATTTTCTTTAGGACAGCTTTCAGGAAGCTACTGTACCTTTGCCCTGGCGAATATAATTAAAGGAAGTGAAGGCCGGTCCGGCGATGGGTCGTGAGTTTGACAAAGGGCTTTGTGGGCTCTAAGCACTGCCAGATTATTGCAGCAAATTGGATTTCATGAATAGCTAATGAACACAGCGCATATCAGTATTCATTAGATGATGGGCTGTCATGGACTGTTAATGTAGCTAAATTCGTCAGTGCCTGACAAACACAGCCACTGAGAGGATACGGAGGTCCAGGACTGGCCCTTTCACATAAATTCACCTTTAAATCCGTTCTGTTTTGAAAGAGAAAATGAAGAAGCGGCTCCCATCAGCCGGCATTTGGGAGAGTGATGTGAATGACAAAACGCTTCATACAACGCTGATAGCTGCTAAATGTCCTGCTGTTCCATTACAAACTATAATAACTTTGAGATTACACTTGAAAGTAATCTCATTAAAGTCATGACACTTTGTGAGATGAGCGAGAGGGGACTTGTTGAGAGTCCTCTGGTTTTAAAAGCACATCTCTGGGCTTTGAGCTGATGACTTGAACCCAATGCTTAACTTCACTGTGATCATAGCTGTTGGCTACGACCGTTTACTTCACAGGTGATAGCAGTTCCTTTCGCTCCTACTTTTAGTGTCTTAATCTTTTTTGTTTTTTTCATATTAGATAGCTATGGTTTTAAAATAAGTCTGTATTATTTATAACTGCACTGCACAGGTGAGCCAGCATATTAGAGTCCTGTTGCACCACGCATACAGCCTCGGTTAATATTGTTATCTGACCAATTACATTGCATTTTGTCACTGTGTGAGATACCTCCATCCATGAAGGTGTTCTGTTAATGTGCAGAAAATGGCGTATAAAGAAACAAAAGACAATGTTAGCATTTGCTTTGCATATGTGTGCAATTAAAAATATATTTTTTTAATTCAATTAAACATTAATTTAAATAGTTTTGTATAATTTAAACAGGTTTTTATTAGTTAAATAAGGAACTCTGCATTAGCATTGCAGCATTTGTTGTTTCGGTAACTAAACTGGGAAATTATGGGAAATTAACACAGTTGCTAAACCCTCTACGCTACTACAAAAAGACAGAGAAACTGAATAAGCAGATCACAGGGAAAAAAAGTGTTTCTGTCAGGAGGGGAACCAAACCTAATAAGAACTGTATTTTTGAGGCCCGAGTGAAGCATCTAAATAGGTCAACTTTCCTTCAGCAGAAGATTTTTCTTGGGTTATTCTTGGCTACACCTGAGCTGAAGGGCAGATGCTCATGTTTGATCTGAGAGACTCATCAGGCTTGTCAGCAATTATGTGACACTTCACTAATCGGGTCTGATAAGATTCAACTAATGTATAAGTTAATTAAAATCACCATAATCAGCAGCAGCAAGCCTTTATTATCAGTATCTGTGAACATTTGCATTTAGCAGGTTTCAGTGATCAGATTTCTGGATCAATATTTGACCTGCGTTTGCAGAAATCGTTTCCATTCTAAGTGAAAGCTCAAGTGTAAAAGCGAGACTATCAAACACAACCCAGCCTCCATATCAAACTCTTTCCCATGTGGCATTTCCATAAAACCCTTATGCGTTAATGTGAGTAGGTGGTGTATTGGCATAAATTTGATGATGTACAGTTATATAATGGCCTCTGACCTATATGCAGCGCATGAATCTCTGAACACCTCCCTGCAGGAGATGCACTGGGTGAATTAAAGTAGGTTGAACACACACAATTTCACTCGTCGCTCAACACTGACTGACCCCAGCGCTGATTCCTGCTCGTGGATGGAGGTCTCACACCCAGAAGATGTGTAAAGTCTCACCTCTGAGAATTTGTTCCACAAGTCATCTCTCGCTGCGTTCCCGTACATGTGCGTCATCAAGTAATCCTGCAAACAGACAGAGACGGAGATCAATATTGGAAGAGAAATAAATTGGACTTGGACGGAAACGGTGAACTTGGGAAACCAAATAAGCCCAAACAATAACATTACTAATCCTCTCAATTCAAGCTGAACGTATGCAAATTAGCAGCAGATGTTTGGGTGTGATTGGCTGTCAGTTCAAGGAGGACCATAAGGAGGCCAATTAGAGGCTGATTATGTTGTTCGAGTCGATGCTGCATCAGCATATCACTGAATGAGTAACATACAAATCAGCAACAGGATTTCTTTCAAGACATAAAAGATGGTCAATTGTTCACATTAAAATAAACACCTTAAGTTTTGAAAAAATAACAGAATAGAGTAAAAACTTCAATACTCTTACAAAAAAAGTACTGTACTAGTATATACTAATCATATTAATGATTAGGGGTGCCGCTATGGTTTGTGGGTCCCCTGAACAGCATATATACTCGGGCCCCCCTCGGTAGAAATCGTGTTCCCACCTCAGGGGGCCCCCTCTGACGCCGGGCCCTTGGAATCGTCCTAACACCCCTCCCCCCTTGCGATGCCACTGACTGCAGTAGTTGTATTTACATGTGGTACTTCAGTTTCAATCTCATGTTTATCTTGAGTACCTATTGAGTAGTATAGCATCCTTCATATCTCTGAAGAGTCTTTAGTTTTATCAAATTTATAAAAGAAAGATACAGCTGTACAACTTCTCTCAGAAAATCAGCTCCTGTCGTGCTTCCGTACTTCCGTACCCAAACTTCAGAACTTCCACAACCTCAATGAAGCACATTGTTGGCTGTGCTCTTGCTCTCACACGGCTGCGTTTCCCAAAAGCAACTATGGTCGCAAGTTCCATAGTTACCAATAGAGTTCAATGGAACTAACGACTATATTTAGCTAACAATGTTTTTTGGAAATGCACCCCTGGTTGACAAAAGTGCCCATACAAGGAATTTCGCCCTTTATGACATCATACAGGGCCATACTCGAAAAAAAAAAAAAACTTTCCTAAGTTACCTTTACTAATACGAACCCTGAAGGAGCATATTTGGCACATAAATACTCTTGTCATACGTCCAACTCGTTTTTTGAGACTTTGGTCATGTTTAGCACAAGAATCCAATTCTTCAGCAGGGTAAATAAGTCAGAATGCATGATATAGCATTAGACATTCTCTTTAATGTATTCTATTACAAGTGCCTTGACATCAACATGGACAAATCTGCATAGAAAAGTGGATGTAATATCTGTATTGTGGTGTATTATTGAAGCTAAGACACCGGTGGGTGTTCATTTCACTGCTAACAGACTTTAATCTGTTAAACGCCAAACGCTACATTATCAGTGCGTCTGTTCTGCCCTGCAGTCTCAGTGATACAGGTGGTGGACGACATGAAGAAGGAGTCTGACCCTGGAGAGCACATTTACATGCATCTGATAAGAACATCTGGTGGGAAGCCTCTTGGCTGCTGTATACGAGATTCCTCGATAACTCTTGAGTGACCGTGAACGATAAACCCGTCAACTGTAATCCGCTTCCTGTTGCTGGAGTCAAGAGAACATGCTGACAAAAAACTGCATGTTCCCTGCTAATACTGGTGCATGTCTTCTGTAGAACACAAATGGAGATATTTTGCAGAATGTCCAGGCTGCTCTTTTCAATACGCCAAGAACATAGCCTATATTAATGCATTTAAACTCTTCTTAAGTCATAAGCTATCTTTGTGTGATAAACCGACCAAAAAGTTTTGATTTTAAACAACAATACCAGTACTCAAAACCATTATTGCAGACACACTTCACTGGCTCTTAAAGAGGGGTAGATTTTAAGTGAATAACTGAAAAAAAGTGTGAGCAGATGATGACAGGGTTTTAATTTTGGGATGAACTATTCCTTTAAAAAGGTCATTATTTCAGCCTTTGCTTCATGAATCAAATCAAAATGGACACTTGTTGAAACGCGAACAGGCGTCATGCTGAGAGGTCTGCGCAAATTGCATTGGGATCCTGAAAACGTGACCCAGTCCAGCTGGCCTTCATCTCTCTATATGCTCTGCTGAGCTTTCAGAGAGTCTGGGATTTGAGTCTGGAGCAGAACCAGATTCATGTTACCATCCTGATGAATCTGTTTTAAACCAGATCAATTCCTCTTCCTCTCTCACTCTCTCCTCCATCAGAGTTAATGCCCTGAAGCGAAGTGACCATGTGGTCCAATCTCGCCTCTGATAGGGCCGTCACAGTGTGTTGTCATTATTTTGACACTGATGTGTTCTGCTGACTGCCAAAGCAAGATAGAAGGAGTAAAAATAAATCTAGTTGCCATATCAGTCCCAGTCAGTCAGTCAGTCAGATGCAAAAGAGTGATATACTGTATATATATTTTTTAGATTAACTCAAATGTAAATATAATATTTATGTTAAATATACTGTATAATAAATACACAATGAACATGTTTTCTCTTTTGAATTAAAGTTCATTTTCAATTATTATTATTATTATTTACAATTTCAATGAATTAATAATTTAAATGCATTTTTTGGGGCTTAAAATAAAACATTTCAAAGTGGTGTAACCATTCTGAAACTACCAACTAAATAAATAAATGCTAATAGACTGAAATCCTTCAGAAAAACCTTACTATGAATTTTTATTATTATTATTAGTATGAATACTTGACACTGAGTGATCAATTGCGGCATTCTGTGATTGTGTAAGGACATTTAATTCTATATCTGACCACTGTCCCTGCAATCCAGTCTCACTCAATAGGTAGAAATTGCATGCTGAATGTGATTGTTGCAGTATGAAATACCTACTCTGCTCATTTGCATGGATTTGCATGGCAGCGAGGGACCACTCAGAGCCATTTTATGTTGGTGTTGACATTTTCCAGTCTGCTTGGCCTAAAATTGTGTATTTTAATGACTGTGTTGCTACCCACCACTGTTTAGTGACCAAAAGCTCTTACAGAGAGACAAGAAACAGACAATCCTATCAGCTGTCTACTGTTTACACATATTTTGTAACGTGATGCTCTAATAAGACTAAATAATACCACATACAAATATTGGGTAAAATAGTCAATTTTAATTCTGACGGCTTTTTTTTTTATTTTTATTGATTGTTTTAACTATTTAATGCACTTGTAATGATTGAGGTGGATCAGACACATGATTATTTGTTATATTTAACAAATAGTGGACAATACCCCTCCCCAACCAGCAAAAAAATGTGGTAGGGAGAACCAGGCCTCTGGTTACTGTGGTAACAAAGACACACATCAAGATAAGATTGTTTTACAACTCAAAGGAATGTAGAGTTTTCACTCTAAATTCACTTTGAAACAGACAAATGTACCCTTGTACTATACAGTCCATTTTTCAGTCCATATTTTTTCCCCTTTTAGTGTTTTGCTTATGTATTGATACAAACTCTTTTAAATTAATATTTTAGAATTGCATACTATTGTTAACAGAGATCACAGGTATGCCATGTTTGGTATCTTTCGGCTGTATTTTTAATGGTCTAAATGTTCATTTATATTATACTGTATGTTGATACCTATGGAAGATATTAGTGTTACCAGAATCTTTAATAGTTTCTTCATCAACATCCAATCAAAGTCCATATGCAAAACATATGCCTGAGGACCAAGGGTTGTAAACTTTCCCTCAGAAGGTACACTTTCTCATTGGCTCACTCGCCTCCTGAAGGGTGGGACATCCTCACAGTTTTAAAAGATCACAGGATCAGAGTTATTCAGAAGAAGTTTTCAGATGCAGAAACTCCAGGGCAAGATGCGGAGCTAAGAGTCTATTAATTGATACATTAAGTATCATTTGCACCTTTTACAAAGGTGTGTTTGAGCTAAGTAACTGATGTTTCCTTCAGGCTGTAGATCTGCTGAATATCAAATTTTACCATAACTTCATGCTTTATTTCTTTTCTCTTTACTGCTTAAGCTTTAACACATTTTCCTATGCCAACTGTCAGGGGCGGACATACCCATTAGGCAAAGATAGGCGACCGTCTTGGGCCCCCAAAAGCCAAGGGCCCCCTAAAATGCTTTTCATATAGGATATGCGCATTAAGCGCTGACACGCGAACGGTTGCTGTTTACGGTGTTTATAACCACGACAACCGTCCGAGTCAGTGGCGCCTGTAGTGATTATTTGAGAAGGCTAAATTGATCAAACATAGGCTATGATCAACTCACTGTCTGCCGCTGGCCGTTACTTAAAAAAAACGTATATATTAACAAACAAAAAATGCTCCAAACGTTTTTCTATAAGAGGTAAAAAGACGGGCTAGGGCCTATTTGACATGAAAGAAACAACATGAAAGAAATCCATTATAACATGTATATGAAAATGTAGGCCAACTGTATGTGTGTGTGTGTGTGTGTGTGTGTGTGTGTGTTAGACTAGTTCAAGTGTTTACGCAGTTAATAAAGTCTTACTTGTATTACACTTGAGGTTGTTTGTTGTTTGCTCATAACTGGAGTCCCTAATCATGCAGATTTTTGCTACATGCTCTGAGTAGTATTGTACAATAAGAAAGTTATTTTTGGTCATTGAATCTGATTCACCGCATTTTCCAGAGGTGTGATATTCTAGTGATAACAGAACTCTAACCTCCAAAAAAACATATATAATAATTATTATTATTATTATTATTGGCCAAATTAATATTTTAATTAATATTAATAAAGATGCACCTTATTAATCTTATTGATGGTCATTACATTTTTTTCTGTGTACATCGGCATCTTGGAACGGATCTAAAGATTCACTTCATAACTCAACAGATTCCAGTGGGATGGTTGTGTGTGTAATTAATGTACTCTAATTAGCAATGGCTAGTTACTCCTCTGGCACTCTCCAGGACAGAATAATATCCTGAACGTTCCTTCATCAGATATTATAACCACATTCGGTTTTGGTTTCTGATTCTGCAAAGTCAAATTATATACAAAGGCAGACAAAAGATTGATCGCTTTCGATATGTAAATCCCCCGAAGCTAAAACACCAGTTTTCTGCAAGAGCCTTCACCACAACAGTCAAAGCAGATCATAAATAATTCATTATTCATCCAACTAAATGAGTTCCCTCAAAAGTAATACAAGAAGAAATATGTCTGCAATTTTCTTGCATATGAAAGTAATTTTGAGGCAATGGAGGTAGATTGTTTGGTGAGGTGCTGTGTTTACCTATTCCTCCCATCAATCACTCAGAGACAGACAGAGATACTGAAAGTTCCCATAAGAGAGAGACAGAAAACAGTAATAATGAGGCGGAACAGTTGAGCCAGAGGGGCTGCTGGGAGAAGAAGAGGAAGATGGGAAAAATGGATCTTCTCTGTGTTCCAGAATGTTGTGGGATTGAATCGAAGAGTATCTGGCTATTTCATCTGTGTTCAGAACGAATTATTAGCCCACAGCATCCGTCGGGAATCTCACAGACTGCCATTCTCCAAGTCAGGGACACGCTGAGAGCCGACAAACAGGACTATGAAGCACCGAATCCAGGGAAGCAGCTTCCTGCGGTTCAAAATCACATCCAGAGGATGAAGATGGACTGTAACATGCGGAAGTTTATTTCTCCAGGGCAGGAGCGTACTTGTCCTCTGCTATTCATAGGTCAAGCATTTCACATTTCCAGCCGGAATGAATATTTCCTACATCCCATAATATGATCCATCTAAAAGTGGTTTTAAAAGCGATGGGCAGTGTGTGTAAATGAGACGCGAGTGCTTCATCACTCCAGTCAGATGTATGAGCCCCAGAACCCATTCAGACCTCATTTATGACTCCCTCTATTCTTTTATAAGAGACATTCATCCACCTGCATCAGCAGCCCATCCACCGTTTACTAGTGAAGATGAGAGAGAGAGAGGGATGGGTAATGCTGGTCTGGATGAGACTAAAGCCCGTCTGCTGCTTCTGAGCTGTTCAGCATTCACAACTGTCTGCTGCTTCAATTATGCAGAGACACGAGGAGGAGGAGAAATGCCACACAGAGCAAAAAACAGACACTGAGAGAATGAAATGAGCCTCGGTGAACAGACAAAGACAGAACACAGACGAGAGAGGAGAGCTGGATCACTGGCAGATGTGTGAGGTTGTGTCTCTCCTCTTAAATACTCAGACTTTCAGATCTAGAGCAGTTTAGGAGTTCATAAGCCTCTACATTGAGCATTAAGGATAAACTAGGATTAATATAAGGTAAAAAAAAAAAGATAAAAGAAAAACAAACATAATAAATAAATAATACAACTGATCAAACTGATTAATATAAGAAAACATAATAATAATAATGTAAACAGTTAATACAACAAAAAGTTGAAAAGTAAACAATAAATAACAAAAAACAATGAAAACAATAACACAGTAAAATGTAATAATTTTATTTTCAATTATTCATTAATACAATAAGTTCAAATTAAATTGTTTTATAATTTTATGTTTCTTTCTGGGGTTTTTTAAATCAAAAATGTTTTATTGCGTTCTATTTTATTTTCATATGAGATAAAATATACTGTGCATAAAAGATAGACATTTTACTATAGTATATATTGCACAAAACCAAACACACTAATTACAGTTAGTGTAGCTAGTTCAAGATAAATGGATCACATACAGTATATGTGCATTAGACACATCAGTCTGCTGGTCTTACATGTATTTGTGCTGTGATATTAAGCTCATATGTGCAGATGTTACATCAGTAAATGAAGCATTAAATGTGTTGCTCTGCAGAAAACATGACCTGATTGTGCTTCCAAACACTAATAGCAACATTAAACCACAATAACAAAAATAACCCAGAAAACAACTCTGAAACTGTCAGATTTTTTACAGCATCTCAGGCATAAAGAAATACAATGAGAAGTTATGGATGTTTAGAAAAGTGATTTATGTGAAGGTGAGGAATCTGTACCTCTGAATCTGTGTGAACTCACACATTAAAGGAGGAGGGATTTGTACCTTTAACACATTTACATTTATTCGTTTACAGATTGACTCTCACTGGATTCAAACCTGTTTGTTCACAGCCCAGATCCTTTAACCACATTACAGGATGTAGTTTCATGTAGCAGCCATACGGTGTCCACACAGCCATTAATAATCTCTAATAATGCATCACGAGATCTGCTGCTCACTCCAGAGGAGCTCTGACTGCTAGACGGACACAGAAAGAGCTTCAGAGAACTTAAAACACTTCAGCTGGAGCAAATGACCATGTGACTATAAACAAACTGAAAAAATACAAGCCGTCTACTCAATATCAGCTACAGTACATGTGTTTTAATGCAGCGGATGTGTTTCACCATTACTGTAAACCGGTTTAACACAGAGAATGATTCTGAAACTTCTGATTGTAAAAGTTTCAGATATGAAATTAATTTCTGACACGAACACGTTTAATCACTTGTCTGATTGTGCTGCTTTCACCTCAAGCGTGATGGCAGCGCGTGACACAACAACAACAAGCTGTTGTAGCTCTAAAGATAAGAAACACATGTAAACCGACACGGCTGCACAATCTCCCAAACATACGAGACACTCAGAGCAACCTGAGGGGACTTGAACATTCACTGAGATATTCAAGTGTTAAATGGTGAGATTCATTTGTAACACATTCAGCTCACATTCACAGGATTTAACAAGGATTGAGTTTTTGAAAAAAAAAAATTTGAGAAGTATTTTAGGTATTATGCCACAATCCTCTTAAAGCTGCATTTATGCAGAATCTATAATTCATATAGAGAGCCTTATAAACATATTCATAACACATTAGGAGTAAAACATACATACGTGTGAAATCATCTGTGACCACAAAGAGAGAAGATGAAAGAAAACTATTGACTTACATTGAGGCCTCTCTGGAATAGTGGCTGTCCCATGACGTTAGCCAGCATTCGGATCAGAGCGGCTCCCTGCAGACACAACAGAAACACCCACATTCAGTAAAAGCTCATCGTTTACACCTGCTCTACACATTAATTTAATCGCAAAATATGCATTGTATGAAAGTACAGTAATCTACCTACAATGGAAGTCAATGTGGCATGACATTCTGAAGGGTTTAAAATAAAAAAAATGTGAAGCTTGTGTTTTTAAAAGTGTTTATATTAATTTGTCCGTACATAATTATGTGTAATTTTAACTGGACAGTTGACAAAATCATAATTCTAGTGGTGTGACTTCTTTTGAATTTGTGGTTATGAATGACTGTTGTAATATTCATTTGCATTTTTGTAAATTAAATTAAATTAAATTAAATTAAATTAAATTAAATTAAATTAACATGCTTGTACACAGCAGAAACTGTTTAACAATATTTAATACAAGTTCAGTTAATTTAATTATTACCCTGCTTTTTTCTAGCAGTTCTTCTTTTTCAAGTATTCAAGGTTCATCTAAACAAGAACTCCATGACACTCGTCCTGCTGATTTCTGCAGTTTCATAAATTTGTATCTTTTTGACTTTGAGTGACTTTGACATGCTAATTTGACAGCATCTAATTCCTATCTCCCCACATCCCATCCTCTACTATTTATTCTGTTTTACAGTATCAAACACATAAAAGTGTCCCATAAAAGCTTCTGTTTTATTTTTATAAGTAAAAATCACTCTATAAATGAAATTATAAAGTGGTTATAGGAAAATCCAGCTAATATTTCTCATGACCGAAGCCTTTATATCTGCAGCAGCTTCCCACAATCCACTGATATGATGAACATTCACTGCCAACACACGAGAGCCGACACGACTCACTCATGAGAGAAACACTGCTGCTAACACTCAGTGTGTGTGTGTGTGTGTGTGTGTGTGTGTGTGTGTGTTTGATTTGTGTGGAGGGTCTCACTGTCTCTGGGCTCTGATCAAATGTGTCCCTGTAGGATTCACTATAAAGACAGGTAGAAGTTTTGGGTCAGATGAAAAAGACCCTCATCATTCACTGTGTCTGTGGATCAGCAGAGAGTCACGATCTCAAATACAGTCAGTCGTTCTGGAGCACATGAGGAAGATGTTACTCTGATACCAGCTTGTTCCCTATTTTAAGGAAGTCTAAACTGATTTTTAACTTTTTTTAAATAATAGAATCAGAAAATAAACCACTAGGAGGCAGATAAATCAAAAAAAATTACCATGGTACTATTTTTCTTCGAATAACCTTTGTATATAATGTAAATATACACAGAATAATCACAGATATGTAATGTTCATTAAATATTTAAATATATTAATAAATTCTTGCTCCAGTTTTGTTGAACAAGATGTTAAAAAATAATATAAACACATCATGAATGTAATACCACAAACTCTTATACATTTCAGTAAATTGTGCTTCTGCAGTGACACTGTTTTCCTGCTACTCATTTGAAAGTGGCGGTTTGCCGGTTACCGTACATGAAAATGGATGAAATATGAATCACATGAATTATATATGAAAGCATTACACTGCAGGTTCATATCCAGAACATCTTCATAATGGGCTCTCTGGCGAAATCTCTGCACTGAGTTATCAAATTCAAAACGACACTAAATTAAGGTTTTATAATTGTATTATTTTCTCATCTATGTATTTATTAAAAGTGTGTGACTGGTGAGCCAGCACACTATCAGCTGCTATAAACACGTCTGGTTTTGACACTGTGCATGTTTTATTACACCTTTATTCTCCATCATTATGAATAATTCTTGCTCATTAGAGCTTTTGGCAGATTGATTAAGAATCCCGTTGAAGACATTAATCCAAGAGAGCAGGATATTTTAATCAAGGGATTTGAACGGAAATGAATCGAAAAACAAATGTTCATCAGAATCATTCATAATTTTATGTCAATACAATAAGACATTTTCTACTAACATAGTGGATCCTGGTTACTTCCAGAGTTGGAAATGAATGGGGGCTTAGAGCAAAAATAAACC